ACCTAAAATGAAGGCTCTATTATTAATTTAAATTAATTTTAAGACTCGAATAATTATATTGGAACCTCGAGCAAAACGAGAAGACCGAATTAAGTATTCTCCTAATTTGAGGACTAAATCTAAAATAAAAGTAATCTAGATGGGGATTAAAATATTAAAATGCAATCAAAACGGGTACAATTTAAAAAGACAAATAAACTAACAAGGACTAAGTTAAATGGAATTTAAAATTGAAGGCAAAATAAAAAAAAAACAATTAATGAATACATAAGAACTAAATTGAAACGAATAAAAAAGGAAAGATGAAATCGAAATATTGAGTAAATGACTAAAATGTAACAAAATAAAAAACCGGTAGCTAAATCGAAAATAGGTAGTAACCAAAATGCATAAATTGAAAGCAACACATCTAATTCCAAAATAAATAAAGATAAAAGAACTAATTAGTGATTAAAATGAAACAACATAAAACTTAGTGATCAATTTTAAATAAACGATAAAATAAAACAGTGATTAAATTAAAATAAAATAAAAATCGAGTACCGAAATAAAAAATGAAAAGAGCATGCTTCGTGACTAAAATGTAAAATGTGGAAAAATTTAAGGGTCCTAAAAACTAATTAACCTTATTATTTTAAGCCTAAAATACCATATTAAACAAAAATAGGAAAATTATAAAATTAATCCATACCAATTAAAATAAAATTTAAAAGGTCACTACATATGACCAAAATGTAAAAACATGCCTAATTTACAGGGACCAGACAGGGAAAACCCCAAAAAAATAAAAACATGCAAGAAAAGGAAAATTACAATTTTAAACCATACAAGTGACCAAACTGAAAAAACACTCTACAAGTGGGGGACCTCAGCGTGATCTCCCCTCAAATTATTTCTATATATATCAACTTCTTTTTTTATTTCATTTAAAATCAAAACCGAAAAAAAAACCAAAAAATCTAAAATGCTTTACCCTCCCCTCGCTCGGACCACTATTGGTCACCTCAAACCCCCTCTGCCCACCGCTCCAGCAACTGCATACGGCGGTTGGAAACCCAAAAAGCCCAAAAAACACAGATATGCTAGTCTAGGCTCTTTTTAGGGGGTAAAAACACCAAAAAATACTCTGAAATCCCTCAAAATCCCCCTAATCCTTTTGATTTCCCCGGACTCCGACGACCTCCGACGAAGCCCCCCCAACTCAGATAAACTGATCCATCACTTTCCTTTTATTTTTTAGTGTTTTTACTATGAAAAAGCCTATGTTATTGCTATTATTTCAAAACAAAAAAAAAGTTATATATTTTTTGTTTAATGTTGCTCGAAAAAAGGAAATCGTTTTACTTGTTCCGAAACTAAATAAGAATTTTTGTTGTTGTTGATTTTTTGAAGATTAAAACGTTTTTTTTATTATTCGAAAACTGAAAAAAGATTTTTCTTCTCAACTGATATTCCAAACTTAATAAAGAAAAAGAATTTACTGCTCAAATTTAAAAGGGAACAACCTTAAAAAATGGTTTATTGCTTCTAGACAGATGAAGAACAGAGAGAGATTACATGAATTTTCTTGGGGGTTTCAGACCTATTTACAGAAATGAATCATTACAAATTTTTGTTTGCTTGCGTTGTGTTTTCTACAAGAGTTGTGTGAAGCTTGGTGGAGGTGGTGGAGTGCTGGAGTGATATTTGGGTATTGGGGCAGAGAAGGGTGGCCTTTGGTTGGGGTGTTTGGGCGGCTATCCTAGGGGTTAGGGTTAGATCTGGGTCGGGTCTAATTTGGGTCTGGATCGAGTGTTAGGTCTGATTCTGGTTTAGTTGTAGCTTTTATTTTGGGGTTTGATTTGGTTTGGGCTTGATGACTGGTTGTAAATTAAAATAATAAAAAATGGAGATCATAAGCCCATTGTATGTGCATTGAGAGTTGATGGTACGATTGACATGTCATGAGATTCAATGATTTTATATTTTGCACTATATGTGTGTTCTTGTACCTTGAGTATATTTATCTTAAACTATATGTGCATTGTGGGCTTCACAATGTATTGACGTTGTGAGTTGTCTTTATATGATTTATGTTTTAAATATAGTGATAATTTGTTCTATAGTACCTATATTTATGTTTGGCACCAAGGGTGCGTTCTATTATGGCAGCTATAACTGTATCTTGTGCACACACTCGTTCTGACTCGTGTACCTTATATTTTCATTTGTTATACATTGGGCTATCAATTAAATAAATATGAAAAGTGCAAGTTTAATTTGATTTGTTGAAAGTAAAACTTTCAATGAATATTCTGATTTGGCATAAAGTGTCATATATCTGCTCTGTTTGTTCGATATGTGGATTTTGAAAGGTTGATTTTTCAGATTTTAGTATAAAGAAAAGTTTGAAAGTCTTTTTATATGTTTTTATGATAACTGTTATTTTATAGTTTTTCCGAATTAAGAAAGGCTTTATTAAGTCTGTTTATATGTTATGATATTATGTTAAGACATTTTTATGTACAATAGTTCATATTATATTTCAGTATCGTACTATGAATTATTTATGATATTTTAATATTGAAATATTTTACTGTATATGCATCATTAAGTGATTACTTAGCGTGTGAATGTTTCACGCATATATAATTAAAGGATAAATCAACAAAGTAGGTAGTACAATTGGCATCACTTATTGAGTATCACAACTATTCCCAAAAAGCAGTACGGTATTTACTAATATTTGACTTAGCTAGTTGACATGTATATTATATGTGTTTTGTTGCTCTGATAAGTTAGTTTTATAATCGATTCTTAATATATAAATTATACCAAGTAGTATGGCCATTATTAAGTATAGCTAATATTTTACATGAATGGTAGTATATATATGATGCTGTCAAAATGGAGTTTTATGTAGGCATTTTAATTTAAATATGATTTAATATTGAACTGTTAAATTACTGCCTGAAATTGGATATGATTTAAAAATCAAAATATTAAATTTAATGTTACGTATTTACTCAATTTGACGAAGAATAAAAACAAATGAATAAGTTTCGAAAAAGTTCAAATTTTAACCCGATTTTATTTGGTAAGTGTTTACAAGTTAATGTGACATCTTTAACTTGTAATTAAATATGTTTATGTGTGGCTTCCCTTATTATTTTTTTCAAGTCGGGTATCGAGTATCTCGCTTCAGTTCGTTAAAAAGTCTAGTCGAATTCATTCAAACCTAGTGTTGAAATTTTTTTGACCGAATTAAACTCGAATAACTTACTATTTTTGTCTCATTTATAACTCTATTGTAAGCGATAACGAATGTGGATGGTACACGTGGGTGCAGCTAAGGATAACATTTTATTGAAAACTTTTGATCGTATTCAATAGGGTTTATAGGTTATGTATAGCAAATTTGCTAAGCTATAAAATTGATGGAGCCATCACTGAAATTTAAAGCAAAGGCAGTAATCAAAAATTATGATACTGTAATGACATGGAAGTTTCCACATACGTCTCTTCCCTATAAGAATAGGTTCATTGCAAATGCCATAATCACAAAATGGACTCATCACCTAAAAATATGTGATGTATAGAACATTAAAATGATTACACTTGGCCCTGTAATTATTTCTTGGGGGGTCCATTTTGCATACCTACTCTTGGTCCCCCAGCTCTCCACTTCGTCTTCAAGAAAATACATGATTCCCCGAGTGAACGTGTGGCTCCTTCTATCCAGATTAAAAGTGATTTACAGCTTCCCTTTAAAGTAATTTGAGATTAATCATCGTTTTTCAAGTTCATCAATCTGCTCAGGTTGATGCACAAAATGTCATATAAGTTAAAATTTAATCTTTGCAACATTTTTAAGATTTTATTTTACGATTCCGAAGAGGGTTTAAAAAGTGTGTAGAAAAACAATGCTTGCTTTATGTTTTGTTCTATAACAAAAAAAAAATGTCCAGAAAAATATTACTCATTTTTAAAGAAAAACTATTCCCAACTTATGTGATGTTCCGTACATTAAAAAAGTTTAAGTTTCAGTAATTGTTTATTTTAGAACTCAGTGGGTAAATTTGTTTTTCAGTGAACTTGAATAAAAAATGTTATCTTTATTTTTTAATTTGTACTAATTTAATTTTTAAACTCATCTAATTATATTAATTTTTTTTTAAGTTAAAATGATTATAAAATTATATATATTTTAAACATTTTCAATCATTTGACAATACTCATATAACAATTAACTATAATGACATAATGATCAATGATACTGACATAATAATTCATGTGGGAATGAACAGTGAAATAATAACTGATTCTTATCTTTATGTATTATCTTAATAGTTTGTTATTTTTATCGTACCTTTATATTTGAATCATTGAATCAACTAAAATTAATTATTCTACTGTGTAGCAGCTCTAGTTTTCTCTCTTTTCTTTGTGTCTGCTAGTTCCATTTCTTCTTTATCTTTGTGATTAGCATCAACATTAATCTCAGTGTTGATAGTCGATCATTGATATTTATTGTTTTTCCTTTATTTTATTGTATTGTATCTTTTCTTTTTTTGTATTTTTAATAACTTTGTCTTTATGACATGTTTTTTAAGTTTATTGATGATTAAAAAAAAGAAATAGTTGATTACCAAAATAGAATCGGATGAATGATTGAGTGACAAATATGTAATTTACCAATGTGATTTTTAATAAAGCTAATAGATTGGGACAAATGAGGTAATAATTTAAATTTCAATGATAAAATGTCTCAAAAATATTTTGAAGGATAATTTAGGAGCAATGATGCATTTAAGCCATATAATTATTACGAACATTAGGCCTAGCTCGATGGTTAGGCGTCTGGCGGCTTGCCTAGAGTTTAGGGTTCGGTTTCCTTGGGCACGAAGCCCAATGGAAAATTTTCGTTTATTAACGGAAAAGGGCCGAGCCGCCAATCCAGTTTTATTTACACCCTGATGCCACGTTGTTGACACGTTACTATATTTTGCCGGCCACTGTTCTTTGTTTCACCTCCTGCAAATTTCTTCCTTTTATCTCTCGCTTGAAGGGGAAAATGAATTTACTTGGAATTTTGATGGAAGCCGTTGCTTCACAGTCAATGGACACCATTAAAACGGCCCTTATTAGGCTTCTAAGAGCGGCATGGATAGCTGGGATTCTTCCCCTCCTCATCGCTTCACTGCCTTCTCCGCGTCTCAATCCGTTTCACTCCCTTTTACAAGCCTATGCCAAAAGGGGCAAGATTATGCCATCTTCATCCAATGTAAGAACCGTTTTTCTTTTTGGATTTCATCATCTTTTTTTAAGAAATTCCCGTCAAATTTCATTCTTCTAACATTCTTTTTCTCTTGGGTTTTTGTGGATACTGTAGAGGTTCACAGTTCCACAGAGTTTCTTTCTGCACTTCTATTTGTTGGGTTTGGTTTGGACAACCACCTTGTTAATGGGCATTTGGTACTTTGCATACAAAGTTGCACCTTTGGGTTCCGAGCCTTTGAGTTTTGTTAGTCAATTGACAGGCGGGTCACATGTTTTTTTCCTACACAAGTCTCGTTTTACCACGGCTGAAGCTAGATTCAATGTTTGGAAGTCTGTGTTCTTGTTGTTGTTGATGGAAATTCATGTCCTGAGGCGGCTGTATGAGACCCGTCATGTTTTCAACTATAGCTCTTCAGCTAGGATGCACATTGTTGGATACTTAACTGGCATCTAGTGAGTTGCTGAACACATTTGTTAAGTTCATGATTTTCCATTGATGAATTGTTCAATTACTTGTTTATTAGCAGAATGTTAGGATTTAATATGTTTCTGTTATGCTTCTAGATTTGTTCTGATAAGGAAGAGTATTTGGAAGATTGACCGTTAAAGTCCCCTTTTTAATGAGCATGATCAGTTAATGCATGAGCTTGACTATTGATTGAAGTTGATAATCTTAAATGCCATCGTAGTTTGTATTTAGCTCTGATTGTACGATGATTGTATTGGCAGTTATTATACAGCAGCACCTCTGTCACTCTGTACATTTTGTGCACTAGAGGCTTTTAATTTTGCAGCTGATCAAGTAGTTGAATTTAAAGTTGAAGGCCAAGAAATGCTGTCAATTACAGATTTTGATTTGTGGGGTTATGTGAAGCCTATAACAGGGCTTGGAAGGTGCCAATGGGCTGGTGCTTCTATATTTGCTTGGGGGTGGTTCCATCAATTTTGTTGTCATGCGATTCTTGTAGGTCTTTTCTCTGTTTAAACCTATATTTGCTTGTGTGTGATTCCAAATTTTCGGAATGGAACAAAATGATGCATGCTTCGTAACTTGTGCTCATCCGGATGCTGATTTTCTGGTTTTGGTACAGGGATCACTTAGAGAACGTGGAGATCGAACTGCTGAATACATCATTCCTCGTGGAGATTGGTTTGAAGTTGTCTCGAGTCCGCACTATTTAGCTGAGATGGTGATTTTCTTTCTCTCACTTGTGGATGCTTGTATATGCCATGGTTGCTGTCAAACAGACAAGTTATGATCATTACCTACTTGTATCTGTACAGATAATATATGCTGGTCTATTGGTCGCTAGTGGAGGAACCGACATTACCATATGGCTACTTCTTGGATTTGTGGTATTTTGTACCCTCCTAATCTATCTTCCAGAACTATGCAGATTATTATACACATTGCAACTTCAAAACAATGTTCCCTGTAGCTGAATATTTTGTAACTCATTTTCGGCTGACTGTTTCAGGTAGCTAATCTCGCCTTTTCTGCAGCAGAAACTCACCGGTGGTACCTTCAGAAGTTCGAGGACTATCCTCGAAACCGGTGGGCCATTCTTCCATTTGTTTATTAGTTCAGAGAGACTAGTTTCGAAGTATATTTCGTAAACCGGGTTAGCTCCTGCTGTGCTGTTGTCTGTAATCCCTTGGATTGACATCCCTATGTGTGTGTGGTAAATGGAAAGTGGACTCTACCATTTTCCCAACCCTGAGGAAAGAGAAGTGTTGTTGAACATTATCATTGAACAGTGTATAGAAAACTGCTAGGAACGTTTCAATAATCAAATAAATTATGGAATTTGTCCAAGAGTTACCTATCTTTATTTTTTCCGATAAGCCTGTCCCAAACAAATATCCGAATCTGGTCCGGTCCGGCTTTTGAACACTCGTATACCTTGAAAAAAAATATTTTGGCTCTCTCTATTGGCAAAATTGGCCCAGTACGGTCTAACGGTTCTTTATTTACCTTAATAAGACAAGTACAAGTTTATTTTAAGATTTACGATATTTTTTAGGGTGACATGAAACTAATCACGTCGAGATGATAAATTTTAATAATAAATTTTAATTAAAAATATTTTTTATTTAAATTCATTATGTCAAGGTGACGAATTTTATAAACACCGTAGATCCCGGAAAATCTTCTACTTGTCTTATTTTCCCAAATAATTTATTCATTTGCCCTATTGGACCAAAAAAGGTCTCTGTTAGATAATGGCATTTGAGCCCATAAAATGGTCTTATTTTTGCCAAAATACGCCCATAGAAATTTAGCCCAAATCAAGATCGAGATTCGTATAATGGTATTGGTTACGGCTCTATTACACACGTTCACGAGGGTCCTCTGAGAAATTTCGTGGGTCCGTCTGTCCTCTGATCCGGAAAGAAATCGACCGATTACATACTTTCCAAAGCTGTTCAAACCGTCGGCGAAATTGTTGAAGCGCTGAAAGTCTAAGATGGCGTCCACATTCAGCGGTGATGAAACTGCTCCTTTCTTTGGCTTCCTCGGCGCTGCTGCTGCCCTCGTTTTCTCATGTAAAAAGCCCCAACCCTAACTGTTAAATTTTCGGTTCTTCACGGGTTCTCGTTTCCCCAACCAAATGATTTGTTTTCTTCTTTTTTTCAGGTATGGGAGCTGCGTATGGGACGGCCAAGAGCGGTGTAGGAGTGGCGTCGATGGGAGTGATGAGGCCGGAGCTGGTTATGAAATCAATCGTCCCCGTTGTTATGGCTGGTGTTTTGGGTATTTATGGGTTGATTATTGCAGTTATTATTAGCACTGGGATTAACCCGAAGGCCAAATCTTACTACCTATTCGATGGCTATGCTCATCTTTCCTCTGGTCTTGCTTGTGGCCTCGCTGGGCTTTCTGCCGGCATGGCTATTGGAATCGTGGGCGATGCTGGTGTAAGGTATTTTCATCTAATTTGCTTGGAATCATTTGGTTTTGCAGTTTTGCATTTCAACTCTCTAGAACTGAAATTTTGTTTGCACGAATCAAATTCATTTGCTGCATAGATTTTTTCGAAGGTGGTTTTAGTAGTGAAAAAGTAATTATGTAATGACTGTTCACTCACATTCAGAAATTCTGATAAAACTATAGTGGTAAACTTCTTGTTGAGTGAATTCAAACTTGGATCTGCTGGAATTTTACTCGGTTCACAAAATGAATTTATTTCTATTCATGTAAGGTTTGTGGAAGTTACAAAGATTAAAAGCTTTGAAAGATAGCATTATTATTTTCTTTTTAAATCTTACTGATGCTAGCAGTGAAGCTGAGAATTGTTGCTATTGAATATAGAATATAGATCCGTCATAATTTATTACAAAGCTGAGATTTGTTTGGTTTCAAGATTCATTGCAATTGTGAGAATGTGCCTGTTTGATATAGTTTTTTTATGTGCATTTATTTGCAGAGCCAATGCTCAACAGCCAAAGCTCTTTGTTGGGATGATTCTTATCCTCATTTTTGCTGAGGCTTTGGCTTTGTATGGACTCATTGTCGGTATCATCCTCTCTTCTCGTGCTGGTCAATCCCGAGCAGAGTAGAGTGGAAGATTCTGAAACTTGGGGTGTTGCTAGTTGGCGTTAGTTGGTTGTTTTGCATCCTATTCTTGTCAATAGCCTGCAGTATGAAGCATTGGCGAAGTTGTTATTCGGACTCGTTTATGAATCTTATTTAAGCATTCTGTGTTGTTTGTATGATTAGAAGATAGATTCAATTCAAAATAAATCATGTTTTACATTGCTTTTCTTATATATTACTGGAATCTAATGTAAGTTCAATGTATTGAAAAGACCATTTTTATTTACTTAGAACAGTTCTGCCTCTGTTCATCTTTCTTTTGGTATTGCAATGATGAAGTTCTACTATCAGCTTCCCCACTTCACCATTTTTCTTTTTAATTAGGAGACCGTTGTATGGTCGTTGTTAAGGTTATTAGTAGGGCTGTTCATTCGGTTAATTTGGTGGCCGAACCGACCGAACTACCATTAACCGAATTTTTTTTCTTTAACCGTTAACCGAACCGAATTATTTTTTGAAATATTAACCGAACCGAACAAATTTCGGTTAATTCGGTTAATTTTGAATTAACCAAAATTTTTTAAAATTTTCTAATTTATATAAAAATTAAATATTTTATAATTCAAAAAAACAGTTTATAATTAATTTTAATAATATATAATTATAAAATAAAAATTTTATATAATTTTTTTAATTAATTAATATTGATTTAGGTTTAAAAGTTATTAGATCTTAAATTATTAATTGGGTTTTAAATAGTTTGGGCGAGTTCATATGTTATATATAATATATTTAATATTTTTTAACTCAGAAAAATAATTTACAATTAATTTAAATAATATATAATTATAAAATAAAAATTTTATATAAATTTTTTAATTAATTAATATTGATTTAGGTTTAAAAGTTATTGGATCTTAAATTATTAATTGAGTTTTAAATGGTTTGGGCTGAGCTCATATGTTATATATAATATATTTAAAATTTTCGGTTAATTAACCGTTAATCGAATATCTAAAAAAACCTTAACCGTTCCCCGACCGAACTAATTCGGTGGCCGACCGAATTAGTTCGATTCGATCGGTTAATTCGGTTAAAATCGAATTTTGAACACCCTTAGTTATTAGGGCTGTAAATGGATTCAGTTTTAGGTTAAATTATGAGCTTCATCACTTTACTTTATGAAAAACAAAAAGCTAGTCCTGTGTTAATTATGAGCTTCAACTCTCTCTAAAGTAATTCTCGTTTTTCTTTCCAAGTGTTGCTTTAGGCGGCAGCCTAGTGCCGTCGCCTTTCCTTTTCTTTACTTTTGTAAACATCCTTCTCGTTTTGATTTTTGTTCTTTTTATATATTCTAAATTATTTGGTACTATCTGATAAATTTAATTTGTCATTTTAATTGGTTTACGATTTAAGTATTAAAACTGATCCTTGATGTTCGTTTTAACCGGTTTACAAACTCTTCCATTGCACTAAATTCAGGAAACAGAAAATTTCAAAATCGGAATCTGTAACCAACAAAGGAGATTAATGTGGATGAAATCAAACAACTATGATGTGTGTATATATATATATATATATATGTATATATGTATAACACCTATAACATAGGCAATACACTGCGTTTTGAAGTATTATGTCTCGTGGGTGCGTGTTGTCCCAGGGTAAAGTTGAGACCAAACATTTCCTTGAACGTCTTCTCTGGGTTTTCAAAGCCAGCCAGCTTTGCAACAATGGCAGCACTCTCAGCAATGTGTTCCATGTCATTGCAGTCACTCCACAAGAGGTTAACCAACTTCAACCTCCTTTGTTTAGCGTTCAACTCAATTCTCCATTTACGGAAAAGATTCTCTATTTCGACCTTGGAGAGCTTCTTGCTTATCCACTGGCACGCCAGTTGCCTCTCCCGACGTAGAGCCTTCTCACTGTTTGCAACTCAGAACATCAGTGGCTTCTAGATTGATGTAATAAGCATATAAACACACAACACACACACACACATATATACACCTTGAAGCGCATGCAAGGAGCCATTCTCCACCGTTTTATGGCCATTGGTGAACGCATTCTTCATGAAGGACAACCTTCTATGTTCCACCTCCATGTATATATAATCTTTTGGATCTCCCTTGAATAGCGGGAAGAAGTAAGTCCTATGGACCAGTGACACATTGCAATCACGCCAAAGTTCAATTCTCTCTCTTTGAAGCCTATTAAATTCTGAAGGCCACGCTGAAGAGCTTCCACAAGTCTCCGGTGTAGCGTTCAGTGCCTGTACCGGTCATGCACATGTTTTTACGCGAACTTTCGTAATAGAGTATACCCTTTATCATATAATCAGGAAGAAAAGAATCAAACACTCACCAGAGAATCACCATGTTGGTTCTCGTACTTGTGATTACTAGACATTTCTTCAGCTCCTCCTGTTGAAGTATGGAAATCGGTACTAATCTGATTCTCTGGGGTTTGGACACTCCAACCAGCGGCACTTGTAAAAGAACTTTGAGATTCAAGTGGAGATCCATTTCTAATAACCTCCCCGGCCTCGCTCTTGTAATCAAAAAACTTCAATGCAGAAGATTTTCTGTGGAAACTGTATGGTCTTTCAGTGAAATCTTTCGCATTTTGTACGGGAGATACACCATGATTCTCTTGTACCTTCTCAATCCACTGAGAAACAGTCATCAGACTCGCTTCACAACTTCTAGTAAATCTCAAGCTTCTACAGCCATAGGGTTCCTCTTTCAGCTTACATAAATATGCTTTTTCATGAGGTGCAAGAACTATATTTTCATTTAAGTGGGATGACTTGGATTCTTGCTTTGATGTATCTTCAATGTCAACTTCTATCACTCCTGAAATAGCTGAGTTTTCCCCAGGAGATGAGACATCATATTGATGAATCTTTGAGCGCTACTCTGAAAAAGTTGAGTCCAAATATGTATTCATACTTGAATTCGGGTCAATGCAACGAACTTCCTTGCAAGGTGCCACTGAATTTTCATCGTTATTCTCCTCCTGGCAAAGAGTACTTCCGATAAAAAATGGACACCTCGGTGACAACTGCGGGGAGGAGGCACTTGAACGTGGTATAGTCAATTTGAAGTCGGGAAGCTGAAGGAAGTTCTCTTCGGAGCTGAAACTTTGTATATCTGAAGGACAGCGGGATCTAACTCCAGCAGACATAACCGGTCTCACAATGATTGAGTTTGCAGAGTCCAGTGAATCTTTACCTCGCACTCTCAGTTTGGGGTACTGAGAGTCTGAACTCATCTGGT